CAGTTTCCAGGGGGCTTGAGGTCCAGGGGGCTTGAGGGTGGAGGGTGGGGACAGGGAAGGAGAAGGTGAAGTTCAGAAAGTGGCTCTTTGGGTGTGTAAGAAACAAAGGATGCTTGTAAAACACAAACTCCCATCCCCACTTGATGGATGTAAGAAGACCACATCTTTAAGTCCACGCTGGGCGGGGCTCCAAACCATGGTGTGAAAAATGGGGCTATGGAAGACTCTGTTTTGGCTCTGCCTAGGAGAGGCTTCAGAGCAGCAGAAGGTTCTTTTCCTGTGGTTCCCATTCAGCCCCTTCTGTGTCCCAGAGGGCCGCCAGGCGGTATGGACCCCTGCTCCCCTAGCAACCATGCCAGCTTTTGAGAGCTCATCGGGTCCTCCCAGAACTGCCTGCCATTCTGTAATCTAAGGGGAGCCCCTGGGGTTCAGGCCCCACTGAGGTCGCCAACCCCAGTGGGGACCCGCTGTCCTCAGGTATGGGCAGCAGGTTTGGACACAGCTAATGAAGAGAAAGCGCATCTTTGGGAGACATGCACCTGGGGAGGTCTGTTTCAGATGGGTGGGGTCGGAAGGCTAGAAAAATAAATACAAATAAAAGTGAAGAGAAGCAAAGCTCTTGGGTGCCAGAATGGGGCTGGCCGAGGCTGTGGCTGCCTGGGTAATGGGTTCCACATTTGTCTGGCTCCGTCTACAGTGACCAGGATCCAGGATGCACCGTGGGCCTTTGAGGGGCTAGAGGGGACAATCCAGCTGTGGCCAGACCTAGGCATACATGCTTTTTGTGATGGCCTCATCCCTGGTTAGCCACAACGTGGCTGAGACCTTGCTTTAAGCTCACGCCCCGGCACCCCAGCCTCGCCCCGCCCCCGCCCACAGCCCCTGGGTCCCTGCCGGCTTGCACAGATTGTTTGTGTTATTAATGCCGTTTTCCCAGAGATTCCATCTGGCTTTTTAATTGCTCTGGGATGGGGCTAGGATGCTTTGATAGTGAATTGGTATCTTTCCTGTGTCTCTGCTTACGTCAAATCCTCCATCCACACACAGGGGTATGGGGGAGGGGGAGAAGCAGGGATGTCCAGAGAAGGGAGAGAGCACAAGTCTCTCACAGAGAAAAGAAATCTTTCAAAGGTGCTTGTGGTTTAGTTTCGTTTAAAGAAGAGAATAGTAATGCCTTGCCCTTCCCGCCAGCGTAGGAAAGAAATGGGACATCGCCTCTGCCCGGGCGAGGATGCTCCCCATGTCTGTGGAAGGCCCGAGGGTGCCTGGAAGGTGAGGTTTCATGGCTGAGCAAGGTCCGGGTTTCTGCTCCCCCTTGACCTGTTCCGTGAGTGACTTCCTGCTTCCCCCCCACCCACTGCCCCCGCTCCTCTCATGAGGAGCTCTTGGAGGAGGCCTGGCAGGTTCGTGCCTGGGAAGGAGGGGGCGGAAGACCTGGGAGGGGCAGACACTCCTCATCAGTCCCAATGGCTCATCATGGGTGTCAGGGCCAAACCCCATGTTCACAGATTCCCAGGAGATCCAAGAGATAAGGGGGACATCGTGACACTGCTCAACCATTAGGAGGCATCTGGTGCAAAGGGGCGCCTCCCTCTCTCCCTTCTGCCCTTGCTCCTTCCCTGGAGGCTGGCTCTCGTGAACAGTGCTTTCAGGGGACACTGGGCTCGAGTGGCCTACTGAGGACGTGAGGTCCCTGTTGCCTCCCACGGGAGAGTACAAGAGAGAGGCATCCAGGCATGTTGGACTTGGTCCGTGGCCAGGTCTTGGTCAAAGCTGCTGCCTCCAGGAAGCCTTCCTTGGTGGCCTCTACTCACACTTTGAACTTCCCCTTATTACCCTGTCACCCTTGAAGCTCATCTTGGGCCCACAAGGCTGTGCATTTCCCCTGGTACACAGTAGGCATCCAATAAATACTTGGTGTGTGTTCGGTGCCAGGCACTTGAAGTGGGTCTTCATGAAGGCTGCAGTCAGGAGGGGAACCGTGGGGGGCCCTTCAGGAAGCAGTGAGGGGTGAGGAGCCACTCACTTGGGGACCCCTCTGACTGGGCACAGAGCACGTGCTGGGCAGGTTCACCCCATGCTGCCCTCTCCCCGCAAGCAGGCTTCTCTGTCTACTGGGGACCCCACTGGCCCCATCCCTTTCCTGGGGCTGACTTGTCCCCAACAAAGCCTGCCTTGGACCTCAGGATCTGCCCTTTTGTGAGCTGACGGCTTTGAAAGAGGAAACCCCTGGAGATTGGATAGTGGGACAGGAGGGGGAGGAGTGAGGGCAAGAGGGGTGCCCCTCCCCCACTTGTCTTGGGATGTGTTCTGGGGGCAAAGGGGGAAGCTGAGGCTCGGCCCCCTCAAACAAGAAAAACTGGAATTAGCACTGAACTCAGAGAGGGTTTGCTGGGGCCTAGCAAGCTGTGGCCTGCCCCAGGCCTCTAGGCAGGCGGTGGGGCTCTGCGTCCTTGGTTCCCAGGCGGCGGGGCAGGCTGCCGCCTCCTCACCAGGGCTCGCCGCCTTTCTTCCGCCAAGGGCGGCCATGGGTGTGGAGGAGGCAGGACACCAGACGGACGGAGAGACAGAGGGCGGCCAAGGGGGTGGGGGAGTGGGGCGGGAAGGGGGCAAGTCACCCGGCTAACCACACAGGCAAAAACTTTCAGAATTTAAAAAGAATGTGTAATTTCTTGAAACGGTCACAGCCCACATTGGCGTATACTGTCAGCTGCTCGAGTGAACGCTCTGCAGGTGAAAACAGAAGGTAAAGGGTTTTGCCTTTTACCCTCAGGGAGGGTCAACTCTGAAAGCCCTGCCAGCCTCCTGGGCTACCTCCGCCCAAGGCCCTGGTTTTTCAGGCCTAAGGGCGTGCCCTCCCTTGGTTGGCCATCACCGCTGCTAAGGGGGTTCCGGGTGCCTGTCCTCACGGGGCAGTCATTGGAGTGGGGGGCTTGGTCCAGGGTGGGCACAGTGGGGAAGCACTTGCTGGGGCTGGCTCCTTGCCGGGCAGTAGGTGAGGAAGGCCGGGTAGAGGGCTCCCTTCAGGGCCCCACACGGGCCAGAGCTGGCGGGGCGGGGTGGACGGTCCTACCGCTTGTGGCCTCTACCTGCCCGCCCACGGTCCCGCTGGAGGGCTGGGGCAAAGGAAGGTGTGGGCGACGCTGCTCCAGAGCTGGAGCTGTCAGTGATCTGGAAGTCAGTGTGGTCAAAGGGCCCCTGGAGCCTGGAACCCTGGGGCAGGCCTTCCCGAGTCCCAGAGAGGCCGTGGCAACTTCAGGCAGAGGGCCCCCCTTCGAGCCCCTCTCCTCTCAGGGGCTGATGAGAGGCCACACCAAGGCCCCGTGACACCCCACACACCCCTCCCCCTGCCACACACCCAGACACCCTTCAGGCTTCGGCATTCTCTGCTTGGAGCCTTGTCCTCCTTCGGCCGTTTATTTGCCTTGGTTGGGAGAAGTCACCCCTTTAATGTAGAGAGGGGCTCAGGATGGGTGGAGAGCTAATGAAAGTCAGGCTCTCAGCCAGAGAATATGCTGTGATTATTTACAAATGTGACCTGGCCCACAGAAAACCTTGGAAGTTGCTTTTCTGGTTTTAAAAAGACACCAAAACTGACTTTGATATGTTTATATTATAGATATAATACATAAAACATCTAGCATGAAACTCTATGTTCTCCCCAAAGAAGAGAACCAAGCCAGCCTTCCCTGCTCCCAGGCCCAGCGATCTGATCTCATGAGTGCTGGCTGAGGCCGCCTCCCTTCCAGACCGAGAGCCAGGGCCTCTGCGGGGGACAAAGCTGTGGGCAGCCCGGCTGGAGGGGACCGAGGCCCACAGCTACCCTCAGGGAAAGCTGAGGGTAAAGGGGAAGCCCACCTCACCTCTTCGGTTCCCCTGGGAGCAAAAGAAATCCCCAAACCAAAAGGAAAGAGAGCCGCAGACCCTCCCTGCAGCTGCTGACGAAGAGTCTCATTTTGGCAAGTATCTGAGCAAAACCAAAACAAAACAAAAACCAAATAAAATGGTGGTTTAGCATAGACGTGCGCATTCACATTGCACAAGGCACCGCTGGGACACAGAGAGGCCAGATACAAGTGTTGATATCGGCTGATAAAGCAAAATATTTGGAAAGCTTCTCATAACTTCGGTCCCTCTGGGATGGACTGATTGTGCTTCACGTTTGTATGGCAATGCTGGCGACATACAGTACAGACAAGGCTGATGGTCCCAGTGTCCCTTCACCACCACCCCTCCCACTAACCCCCAGACCAGATCTCTAGGTTCCCCTCTCCCACCAGGCCACCACTCCCATGAACATACATCCTCATACCTAACCCACGACCTGGCTTTCTGATCTGACTGGGGGCGGGAGGCTCCCACTGGTCACCTGGTGACGCCCATCTCAGTGAGTTCTGCCCAGAAGAGCCCAGCCTGTTGCAGGCTGGGAGTTTAGAGGCAAGGAACTAGGGACCCTCCACCTTCATGTAGAACTAGGGGAACAACCTTAGGTTCAAAGCCCCAAGTCCCTGTGTTTCCTCCCCTCCAAGGATAGGCGCTCAGGAGCGGCTGGGGCCGGCTTATCGGGATCTCTGCTCCCTGAACCTTCCTCCTGCCGGGGGTTGGGGTGGGGGGCCTGCACCCCTTCTTCTCTCGCGAGGTCAGGAACCCTCCAAATAAAATGACAAGGCACATATTTGCTCCCCCTACTCGGTAGGAATCGGAGCCGTGAGTTTGCGTTTCCAAGGCACAGGGTTATTCCTTTAATACTAGAGTTGCCGGGCTCCCGGCTCTGCCCCACGGCGCTTCTCCTCTCTGTCTGACCCCTCATCTTAGACGCACCGTGTCGGGCGCAGAGGAAGGCGGCCAGGGGTACGCGCGGCAGGCCAGGCTCTCAGGCTGCACCGGAATCTCCTAGTCCTGGCTTGCGCGGCTCGGGCAGTCTTGAGATCCGGCGACCCGAAACCACTCCCTGGGTCCCAGCCAGCGGCCGGCCCAGGGCGGTCCCGCCGCCGCGCGTCTCACGCGCAGTTGCCCATGGCCTTGACCAGGGAGCTCTCAGGCAGCTGGCGGAAGATGCCCCGCAGCGTGTCCAGTTCGCGACTCAGTTGTTCCACCCGCTTGCGCAGGCGGTCATTGTCACTGGTCAGCTCCAGCACCTTCTGCTGCGTCTCCACGTTGCGCTGCTTGGCCTTGTCCCGGCTCTTGCGCACCGCGATGTTGTTGCGCTCGCGCCGCACCCGGTACTCGTTGCTGTTCTTGTCCACGGACTTCTTGCCTTTGCCCGCGCCGCCGCCGCCCGCGCGGATGTCTGGGTGCCCGACGGCCAGCCCCTTGAGCGCGCCGCCGGGGCCTGGCAGGCCAGCGGCGCCGAGCGCGGGTGCTGGGTGCGGGCTGGGCACGGGCGTGGGCGGCGGCGTGGGGTGGCCGGGCTGCAGGTGCATGGTGGTCTGGCCGCAGTGCGCGATCTGGAACTGCAGGTGCGGGGCGGCCAGGTGAGCGGGCGGCGGGTGTGAGTGCTGTGGTGGCGGCGGCGGCGG